GTTTACAGCCCCGGCAGCAGCAGCAGCAGCAGCAGCAGCACACCTGACCTGGCTCTTCTAATCATCTGATCTCTGCAGCCAATCAGTGTGCTCTGATTGACAGGTTGGAACATAAACCTGCAGCCACAGCGGCCCCTTGTGGAGCAGTTTGCCACCCCTGCAGTAAGAACAGCACTGGTTTGAGACTGTGATTAGTGTTCACTCTAAATAGACCACAGGTGTGAATGTGAGTGTGAACAGCAGCTTGTCTCCACGTGAACGACAGAACAACAGCACAGTCGGCCATGTGTCAATATATATATATATGAAATACAGAAGTGTAATGGATGGGCCAGGACACGGGGGGGGGGGGGTTAGAGATGGAGACCCCTGTGTGAGTGCACTGCTGCTGCACAGTGATGATGATGAAGATGATGAAGACGTGTTTTCAGATCAGGTGCCTGTGGAGATGTTCATGTTCTGTGATTCTGTTCCGTTCAGTTCTGCGAAGGATGGTTTTTGTGCAGACATGAAGGAAAACACAGCAGCTCAGACAGTCTTAGTTTTCATCGGCTAAACTAAAGCCTGGGTCTTAACGTGAAACTCACTCCTGACCTGGGACTCAAGGCTCCAGACAGGAGGAGGGCCTCGTCCACTCAGGAGTCTGTGGTGAAGACCAGGGTTGTGGTCTGTTGTCCCTGTGTTGTCTCTGTAAATTCAAGCTTATTTTCCTTTTTTTGATGCTGTAAATTCAAGCTTATTTTCCTTTTTTGATGCCATGTACACACACACACACACAGCATTCTTTTTTTCTATCAGTCGTGACTCTGGTTTGGATCCTGTCGGCAGCATCATCTGCTGATGAATTATCTTCTGAGGACAAGAGAGCCGGCCTTCTGTTTCCACAGCTTCTATTTAGACAGGACAGTCTGTAGACTGTTTGTACTGCTGTGTCTACAGAGACCTGCTGGTCCTACATGCACACACCGTACACATGCGCGGCGGTCTGTCGTCCTCGCCCTCACCTGTTGGGGGGGGGGCAGTTTAGGGAACAGACAAACGTTCAGACTCAGGTTATAGAGAAACGGAACCATTTTCATCCAGGACTTTCTTTGATTTATTTGGTTGTTGAACTGAGTGCAGTTTGTGGGAAAAGTTTCATGATTACATGTGGATTTTTGTAGCTGTCAAACGATGGAGAATCAGAATCAGTCAGTAGTTGTTGTGAGTGCGTCTGTAACACTGTCAGTTACTGCTGTGTCCTACTGTACGAGCACTAACCCTCGTACCACTGCGGTCACTAACGCTGCCTTCTGACTGTAAATATATTGTGGTTAGTGGTGGCTACACAGGGCCGTACTGTGTGACTTCCAGCAGAACTCGGCCAACGCCGTGTCCTGAACCTGGAGGACGACGTCTGTGAGCAGATGTCAGTTTACTGACTCATCTCTGATGTTTTTTTAAACAGGAATTAAAAGTATTTTCCGTTGTCTACAGCTTTTGTATAATAATGTGTTTATGTACCAAATACTCAGTGACCTGTAAAACACTGCGTCCTAGTCCTTTAGGTTTACAGTGGGATTAAGTTTATATGGATTAGAACCTGTGGGCCGTGTACTGACAAGAACCTGCTGATATGATCTGTGGTCAAAGTGTGGTCACAGTAAAGACTCACAGGAAATGATTTATTGCGATATTTCACTGTGTCCATATTTACTGCCCCCGTTAGAACCAGTACCCGGTCACGTTGGACTCTGTACAATAACATGGTCCGGTCCGTTACAAACAGGCAGGGTACAAAAATAGTATCCGGAGTACTGTGGAGAGTATTATGTAAAAGTACACATCACAGCCAG